GGGCGGGGTCTCCCTGGTGCACAAGCACAGAGACAGGTGGGGAAGTGGGGGCATTCCTGGCAGGAGGAGCAGCAGGTGCAAAGGCCCGGAGATGGGAATCGTGCTCAGTACCTGGCGGGGGGAGGCGGGGGGGCTTTAGCTGGAGTGTGGGGTCCAAGGAGGGGCCGGGACAGAAACTGTCTAGAGGACTGAGGTTCAAACCCCGGCTCGGCTCGGTGCTTGCTGTGTGGCCTTGGCCTCGTCGCTCCCCTCCCTGCACCCCCATGTTCTCACCCGTAGCGTCATCTCATACAAGGAGATTGGGGCTCTCCCCCATTCGCCTCGTGTTTAGTGAATATTGATGCTCAGTTATTTGTCGAGCGGCTGGTTGTTCTGCGCTCCGAGGGCACAGGTGTGTGGACGCCGCTGGCCTGGAAGGAGGCCAGGCTTTGGGGGTCTCTGAGGGCCCCACGGAGGACTCTAAAGTGCCCCAGACGGAGAACCAGGGAGGCGGGTGGAGGACATAACCGGTGCTCTGTGACTTTCCTTCACTTGTTTCCTGCTAAAGCCCTTCGTGCATTCACACATTCATTCATGACACATTCATTCATTCACTTACACACTCATTCATTCATTCACCACACATTCATTCTTTCACTTACACACTCATTCATTCATCACACATTCATTCATTCACTTACACACTCATTCATTCATTCACCACACATTCATTCTTTCACTTACACACTCATTCATTCATTCACCACACATTCATTCTTTCACTTACACACTCATTCATTCATCACACATTCATTCACTCACACAAATTCATTCATTCATTCATTCATCATACATTCATTCATTCATCACATATTCATTCATTCGTTCATCACACACTCATTCATTCATTCATCACATTCATTCATTCATTCACTTACACACTCATGCATTCATTCATCACACTCATGCATTCATTCATCACACACTCATTCATTCACCACACATTCATTCATTCACTTGCACACTCATTCATTCATCACACATTCATTCATTCATTCACTCACACAAATTCATTAATTCATTCATCACACACTCATTCATTCAGCCACATACTGATTGCGCACAGGCCATGTCCCAGCGCTGTGGACCCCACCCTGGCTTCCTGGGCTGTGGCTCGGGCCTGGTTTGGAGATGGTAACGGCTCGTTTAAGCATTCAGTGAAGACCCAGGCGCCCCTGAAGGGCACCGGATCTTTTCCTCGTCGGCATCTCTGTGTCCCTCTCCTGTAAACTGGGGAGGACATTTTTCCCTGAGGAGCTGTCTGTCTGGAGACCAAAGACTGAGCGGACGCTGGCGGCCAACCACGGCGTCGGCTTCCTCGGCATTTGTCAGGAGCCCGGCGCTTCGCGTTTTTATTCCTTTTAGCCCTCAGGAAGGATTAGATCCCTGAGGTAGAAAGCGCCTTCTCCTCGTGTGACCGATGAGGAGACTGAGGCCCAAAGAAGTGTGAGCTGTTGCCAGAGGCCCAGGCACTTAAGCTGTTAATCTGCCTGGTAACCGATGACCTCACAGCTCCCATCCGCGGGGCGAAATCTGCCTGGCAACCGGTGACATCACTAAGACTACCGTCCAGGCTCAACCTATGGGGTACCTGATAGCGTCACCGAACAATAAAGTCATTATGATGTGATGAGGGCCTACTAAGTGCCAAACGCCATGCCGTGCTAAGCAGCCCCTCCTCTGGGTTCACCCAATGTCCAGGGTCGCCTCTGTCTTGAATATAACAATAACGTTAGCCCTGATTTATTGCTGCAGACCGTGAGCCAATCATTTTTACGGCTATTGACACATTAAACCCTCCCACTATTTCTACTGTTAAAAATTAACACAAGCATTTATATTGTGCTTACTCCGTGCCAGGCACAGTTCTAAGCACTTCTTTCCTGGAGGTGATGATTATTATTAGCCCCATTTTATGGAGGAAGAAACTGAGGCACAGAGAGGTTGAGCGACTTGCCCACAGCCACACAGCTGCTGGGGCATAGACTTCAAAGCCACGTATCCTGGCTCCAGGGTTTATACAGTTAACCAAGACACTGTGCTGCTCCTCTTATCCCCGTGTTACCGTTGAGGAAACTGAGGCACAGAGCGACGCCAGCCAGACTCCGAGCACGTGACATCCAGCTCCAGAACAGTACTCTTACTCACGCCTGTACCGCTTTGGTTACAAAGGGCCGGCAAAGTCCCCACCCCCACCCCTCTGAGGTGACCAGCCCTCCCTCCCTGCTCCCTGGGGCACAGCCCCAGCCAGGGACGAGGGTCCTGCACCAGCAGACCACAGAGCACAGGCCGGCTTCCCCTCTGGGAACCTCACCAGGCTCCCCGAGCCCTCCTGGGACCCCAGGCAGAGGGCACAGTTCTCTAGCTTTGTCCTTCTGCTCCTACCTGACCCCCGCTCCCCATCGCCCCATCCCACAGAGCTCCGCAGCTGGGGAGGGAGGCCTTCAGGAAAGACATCGGAGCTTGCTGGGCAAGTCGCAGCCCTCGGTGGCCTCAGTCTCCTCATCTGTCAACTGGGCAGACAAGGAGGAACTAACAGAACAGGCCTCTGCAAGCCACTGGGTTTTCAACCTCACTGGGCGCAACCCCTTGCCTCCTTTTCGTTAAAAGCAGTTGTTTTCATGGGAAGAGTATTTTGTTTCCCTTTAATGCTTCATTCATTCATTCATTCATTCAGTGAGTGTTTTCTTAAAGTAAAACGCACATGAGTGCCGTGCAATGGCTCGATGAATTTTGCACAGTGGGCACAACATATAACCAGCCCCCGTCTGCCTCTGCCCACAGTCACCCCGTCCTCCAAGGGTCACCACCACCCGCCTTCTAACACCATAGGCCACTTTCTCTGGCTTGGAACTTCCCATAGTTGGACAGATGCCTGGGTGCTCTTGGGTCCCTCATTTTTCATTCAACGTTATGTTTCAAGGTTTTTTGTTTGTTTTTTTAATATATGTTTATTGATTTCAGAGAGGAAGGGAGAGGGAGAGAGAGATAGAAACATCCATGATGAGAGAGAATCATTGATCGGCTGCCTCCTGCACACCCCCCACTGGGGATCAAGCCCGCAATCCGGGCATGTGCCCTTGACCGGGAATCGAACCATGACCTCCTGGGTCATAGGTTGATGCTCAACCACTGAGCCAGACCAGCCGGGCTGGTTTTTTTTTATTATTATTATTGATTTTTAGAGAGAGAGGAAAGGACAGGGATATATATAGAGAGAGAAACATCGATGTGAGAGAGAACAATTGATCTGTTGCCTCCCATATGCACCAACTGGGTATCGAGCCCAAAGCCCAGGCATGCGCCCTGACCAGGAATCGAACCTGCAACCGTTTGGTGCACGGGACGATGCTCCTACCAACTGAGCCACACTGGCCAGGACATGTTTCTGAGTTTTTATCTGTGCGGTTGAACTCCAACCCTCCTTATATAACAGAAGAGTTGTAACATTCTCTTCCATAACTTGAAATAAAATCCACAGACGATATAACCTACTTACAACCCGCCCCCCTCAGTTCAGTGTATTCTATCTCTCTCTCCCACTCCCTTCCTCTCTGAAATCAATTAAAAAAAACAAAAAAGAACCAATACAGGTGATAAGACCCTTAGGTAGAGGGACTGGCTATTGAGAATGTGAAAAGAGTAAAATACAGCGACTTGCTTCCTTTGGAAAGCTGACCAACACTCCACACAGCCCGGGCCCGTAACACGCCAGCTTCCGGTTGGCATGCTGCCACCCTGCCTCCTCCCCCGTGGATTCCGGTGCCCGGAGCCCTGGAACGCGTGACACCGCAATCCCAGGCCCTGGGTCATCACGCCCCAGGCCCGCGCCCCGCAGGCTCACTGCAACTGCACAGACGTGTCTGTGAATTTATCAGCCCCCACGGGCGCCCAGCGAAGTGTGTCCCCAATGCAGCGTCACCTCCGTTGGGTCCCCAAACCCTGGTCCCTCTCCCACACCACACACAGGAGGGGACGGGGGGCGGGGGGGAGGCAGCAGAGGAAGCAGGGAGCTCTTAAACCATCTCCCTTTGGGCAGTTTCACTCCCTGGTTTGGGAGGGCAGCTCGAGTGAGGGACCCGGCCGGTGTGGCTCAGTGGTTGAGCATCAACCTATAAACCAGGAGGTCAGGGTTCGATTCCTGGTCAGGGAACCTGCCCGGGTTGTGAGCTCGATCCCCAGTGGGGGGCGTGCAGGAGTTCGATCCCCAGTGCGGGGCGTGCAGGAGGCAGGTGATCAATGATTCTGTCCTCATTGATGTTTCTATCTTCCTCTTCCTTCCTCTCCGAAACCAATAAAAATACAGTTTTCTTTCTTTTTTTTTTTTTTAATACTGTTTCCCAAAACCATAAAAATATAGTTTTCTTTCTTCTTTTTTTTTTTAATACTGTTTCAGCTTCTCAGTGGCTGGACGTGTGGGTTGGCAGGAGGGCTCTGCCGCGCGGGGGCCTGGCTGACTTCTTGGGCCTCGGTTTCCCCGTTGGGGGAAGCGGTGGGGCCCTAGCGTCTGCCTTGGGCGGTGGGGGGAAGAGTCCGTGTCCGGAAAGCACTTAGCCCCGCTTTGCACACGGGAGGTGCTCCACCTCCGCCAGCTGTGTGGCTTCGGGCAAGTCACTCACCCTCTCTGTGCCCCGCTTGCTTCACCCATAAAAAGAGGATAATAATCATTGTCACCTCGCAGGGCGGTTGCGGGGTTTCCGTCCCCCATTGGCACCGGGCAGATGCCAAAACGAGGCGCCGAGAAAGCTCCTCCCCAAGGTCCCACCAGGAGGGGGTGCCCCTCACCCCCCCTCACTCACTGGCCCTCACTCTTCCTCTGAGAGTCTGCTTTCTGCCTCGTGTGTCCCGGTGACCTCAGCGGTGAAGCCGGACACGGGCAGGCCCCGGGCCCTGCACCCTCCCGGCGACCTCTGACCTCCCCTGCTCCCCGTTCTCACACGGTGTCTCCCCCCCTCCTGCAGACAGAAGCTGTCGGGCGAATACTTCCGGTACAAAGGCATCCCCTTCCCCGTGGGCATCTACTCCCCCGAGAGCATCAGCATCACGGAGAACGCGGAGGTGCAGGACGACGACATCTTCATCGTCACCTACCCCAAGTCAGGTACCTTCGGGGGGCGGGCACCCAGAACAAGGGGCTGTTCCTAACGGGTGGCCTGGGCCTTGGTCCTGGCGGGTCCCGCCCCCCAGGAGCACCCTTCTCCCAGGTCAGCGCTCAGGTCCCCAGGGAGCCTCCCCTGACCTCCGTGGCTAAAACAGCATCCCCGCCCCCCACCCGCCCTGGCTGGTTGGCTCAGTGGGTAGAGCGTCGGCCTGTGGACTGAAGGGTCCCTGGTTCGATTCTGGTCAAGGGCACATGCCCGGGCTGCAGGCTCGATCCCCAGCAGGGGGCGTGCAGGAGGCAGCCGTTTAATGATTCCCTCTCATCATGGATGTTTCTCTCTCTCCCTCTCCCTTCCTCTCTGGAATCAATAATAATATATTTTTTTTAAATAAAAATAAATAAAAGAGCGTCCCCCTCCTGTCCCTCTCCATCCCCTTAACCGCCTCATCCTCTACCCCGTGGAATGCTGCCAGCAGCTGCATATTTTATCGTGATTTGTCCTCAGGTTTCCCACTAGAATCTGAGCTCCATGCGGGCAAATGTTTTCGTGTTTCTTGTTCACGGCTGTGTCCTCTGAGCCTGAAACAGGGCCGGGCACATCTTAACTATTCAATGCATATTTGTTGAAAAAAGGGAGGGAGGGAGG